GCCTTCTGACACTTTTTCGGTCCACTGAACAGCATTTGGCTGTTTCTTTTTGGTTAGGTCTATCAGTGGGGCGGCGATTTGGCTGTAGTGCGGTACAAATCGTCTGTAATAACTGGCCAAGCCTAAGAAGGATTGAACCTGTTTCTTTGACTTTGGGACAGGCCACTTTTGGATGGCATCCACTTTGGCCTGTAGGGGGCTGATAGTTCCTTGACCCACCTGGTGTCCAAGGTAAGTCACTCTGTTTAGGCCTATTTGACACTTCTTAGCCTTAACAGTTAGTCCTGCCTCCCGTATGCGCTCAAGGACTTTTTGTAGATGTTCCAGGTGGTCTGCCCAGGAATCCGAAAATATGGCCACATCGTCAAGGTAGGCGACTGCATATTCTCCTAATCCCGCTAGGAGACCATCTACAAGTTTTTGGAAGGTGGCGGGTGCATTTCGCAGCCCGAAAGGGAGTACATTAAATTCATACAGCCCGAGATGTGTGGTGAAGGCTGACCTTTCCTTGGCAGATTCATCTAGCGGTACCTGCCAGTACCCCTTGGTTAAGTCCAAGGTAGAGATGAACTGGGCCCGTCCCAGTTTCTCTAATAGTTCATCTGTGCGTGGCATTGGATAGTTGTCTGGGCGAGTTACAGCATTTAGCTTACGGTAGTCCACGCAAAAACGTATGTCCCCATCTGGTTTGGGAACTAGAACCACTGGAGATGCCCATGCACTTTCAGAGGGGCGGATTACACCCATCTGTAACATATCCTGGATCTCCCGTTCTATAGCAGTTTTAGCTTGAGGAGACACCCGGTAAGGTTGGACTTTAATTCGGTGAGCATTACCTGTGTCAATGGAGTGGTATGCCCGTTCAGTCAGTCCTGGGGTGGCTGAGAACGTTGGCGCGTAGCTAGTGCACAGCTCCTTGATCTGCTGTCGCTGCATACGCCCAAAGGTCATGGAGAGGTTCACCTCTTCCATACCACCAGCACATTTCCCTTCGTAGTAGACACCTTCAAGCCATTCAGCGTTGTCTCCTCCCTGGGCTGTAAACTGACAAACCTTTAATTCTCTGGAATAAAAGGGCTTTAGAGAATTAATATGGTACACCTTAGGCTTTCGGTTGGAGGTGGGGAATGCTATGAGATAATTAACAGCTCCCAGGCGCTCCTGGATCGTGAATGGCCCTTCCCACGATGCTTCCATTTTATGAGCCTGGAGCGCCTTTAAGACCATGACCTGGTCCCCTACTTTGAAGGAACGCTCTCTGGCATGTTTATCATACCAGGCTTTTTGCTCTTTTTGAGCATCCTGTAAGTTTTCTTTAGCAAGGGCTAAAGAGGTTCGGAGGGTGTTTTGTAGGTTGGTTACAAAGTCCAGAATGTTAGTTCCTGGAGAAGGTGTAAATCCCTCCCATTGCTGCTTCACCAACTGCAATGGCCCCTTAACCTCACGGCCATATACAAGTTCAAATGGTGAAAACCCTAAACTGGGGTGTGGTACAGCTCTGTAGGCAAAGAGCAACTGCTGCAACACTAGGTCCCGATCATTGGAGTGCTCATTTACGAATTTACGTATCATGGCCCCCAAAGTTCCATTAAACTTCTCCACCATGCCATTTGTTTGGTGGTGGTAAGGAGTGGCAACCAAGTGATTTACCCCATGAGCTTCCCAAAGGTTTTCCATAGTTCCTGCCAGGAAATTAGTCCCTGCATCTGTGAGGATGTTGGAGGGCCAACCTACCCTGGCAAAAATGTCTGCTTGTGCCTGGCACACACTTCCGGCCATCGGGTGGCAAAATCCATGAAAGTCAGTATGTACTGCTTTCCTCTGGGTGTCTTTTTCGGAAAAGGACCCAGAATATCCACAGCTACTCTCTGAAATGGAACTTCAATGATGGGGAGTGGCTGGAGAGGGGCTTTGACCTGGTCTTGGGGTTTTCCCACTCTTTGGCACACCTCACAAGACTGGACATAGGTAGAAACATCCTTGCCCATTCCCTCCCAGTGGAATGACCCCCCCCAAACGGTCTTTGGTCCTGTTCACCCCAGCATGGCCATTAGGGTAATCATGGGCTAAGCTCAAGAGCTTGGCCCGGTATTTAGTTGGAACTACCAACTGTCTCTGAGGATGCCAGTCTTCCTGGTGTCCCCCAGAAAGAGTTTCCTTGTATAAAAGTCCTCTTTCTATAACAAACCTGGATCGATTTGAAGAGCTGAGAGGCAGTAGGTTGCTCTGTGCCACCGTCCAAGCTCTCTGGAGGCTTTCATCTGCTTCCTGTTCAGTCTGGAACTGTTCCCTTGATGCTGGAGACATCAGTTCCTCATTGGATTGTGGACCTATGCTTGGTCCCTCTGGAAGCGATGTAGGGGATGGGGCTGTTTCCGTTGACTGTGAACCGCTCTCCGCTGGTGCACTATGTTGGGATTCAGGCTCCGGCTGAGCCTCTTGTGTAGGGTTATGGGCTGCTGCCAGTTCAGGTTCGGTGGGGCCCTCTGGTGTTGAGGTTGCAAGTACTGGATTTAGTGCTGACACTGGGTCTGGTGTTGGTTGTTCGGCTGGTTCCGGTTCTGGGACTGGTTCCATCTGGGTCTCTGGGACTGGATCCACTACTGCTGTTGCAGACATTGGCCTGGGGTCCAGGTCCATCACCTCTGACCGGGTCCTGATAGAAGTTTACGGAACAGAGCTAGGCCTCACTGCTTGTTTAGCCTGGTTGCGGGTGACCGTTCCTACCCTCTTGGCCTGCTTCACATGATTGGCCAAGTCTTCCCCCAACAGCATGGGGATGGGATAATCATCATAGACTGCAAAAGTCCACATTCCTGACCAGCCCTTGTACTGGACAGGCAACTTGGCTGTAGGCAAATTGAAAGAGTTGGACTTGAAGGGTTGAATCGTCACTTGGATCTCTGGGTTGATTAAACTGGGGTCCACTAAGGAAGCATGGATAGCTGACACTTGTGCTCCAGTGTCCCTCCACGCAGTGACCTTCTTCCTGCCCACTCTCACAGTTTCCCTCCATCTCTGGGCTACTATTACAGACTATCCACAGGCTCTGAAAGATTACACTGGATTTGGCCTTGCATTTGGAATGTTTTTCTTTGCGAGCATAGTCACTTTTTAAAAAAAATTAAAATGAGAACTTAAATTCAGTAAAAACAGAAGGGCCTCCATTGGGACATGGATTTGTCCCAAAAACCCACCTCTCATTCTGCTTGGGGGCTTGGGGAGTTGCAGCAAAGCTGAGGGTCCAAAGTTAGCCAGTGGCCCAAGATGTAGCTGAGATCTGGGAGAGCATTTGTAGCCAACTATTGGTGTCCCTTTTTGTAGGTGTAATTTATTTTGTTAAACACTAAAAAGTGCCCCTGCAGCTCACTTGCAAAATTCTAGTTGGGGACTAATCTGTCTAGAATTTGGAGGTTGATAATTTAAGTGATTAAGGGCTAGATTCTGACCAGTGTAGTTCTGTTGTCTTAAATGGAGTTACTCTGGATTTACACTGGAGTAGCCATCAGCAGAATTTGACTCTTAAGAAAATGTCTACAGTGCAATAAAACACCTGTGGCTGACCCTGGTCAGCTGACTCACGCTGGGGGATTATAAAATTGCAGTGTAGAAGTTCAGGCTGGAGCCCAGGCTCTGGGAGCCTCACCCCTTGCAGGGTCTCAGGGCTTGGGGGCTCTGAGACCCCATGAGGGAGAGGGTCCCAGAGCCCAGGCTCCAGCCTGAGCCCAAATGTCTACACTGCAGTTTTATAGCTCTGCAGCCTAAGCCCCATGAGCCTGAGTCAAGTGACCTAGCCCAACCACAGGTATTTTATTGCAGTATTCACATTTTAGGATGAAATTTAATGATGTTGCTTATTTGGTGTTTTATAAAAATGTTCAAGATCAGTCATGCATAGATCATAAGTCCTAAAATGATTTGAAATGTAGAAAGGATCTTCTAGGTAGGCTTGGGTGGATTAGATTTTTATTGGTAAATGTTGATAAATATTGATTGCACTATACACACAAACTGATGAAAAAATATTTCCTTCAATGATAATTGAAATTTACAGCTAGGCAAAGTAAGACTGTATTGGAAAAAAAACAGTGATTTAGTCTATTTAATTAGGCTTGTTACAAATCGACTAGCAAGTGATTAGTAAAAACAAGTATTTATAGATTTAAGGATATTTTGGTATGTGATGTTAACTGTTAATATGCAAATTGTCTACAAAACGTTAAAAATTTTTAATCTCAATGTCTCTGTCATTCAATAATTGTCTGACAACTCTGCAACTGAAATTTCAGTTGATAAAAATCTAAAAAAATGCTTAAAAATAAACACCTGTCAAAATAATATATATGATATTGAAGTGCATGTACATCTGAATGTACTGATGAATCTCACACCCACCCGTTACACATTTTAAGTGGTTAGCAGGTAACGGTTTAAAGATCTGACACACTAAAATGGAAAGAAAATGAAAATCTGTATCAGAGTACGTTTCAGAACACAAGGAAGTAATCAAGTTTTAAGAAAACAAAAACCGGAGAAAAGGATGTTGAGTGTATGCACTGCAAATGGTGTGGCCCAGTTATTAAATGTAAATATTTTTAGGACTAATAGTACCAAGTCTACAACAGTAAATTGTTTGTTCAAATGAAAATTTTAAATTGAGGATTAGAAATATAGTATTTTCTTAAACTCAGAGGTGGCATTGAGTTTTGAGTTCTGTTTTAGTTCTGCAGCAAACTACATTGAATTCGACTCATCAAAGCATTAATCTACTGAATAATTCTTTCCCTTGTCCTTCCATCCACACAAATATCCCCAATATTTGGTGGGGAAAAAAATTAATAATTTTTCTGGGTAATTTTTACTTATTTTTGTTGTTGTAGTAATAACCTCTGATAAATTTCTGGGGAAAATTTAATAAAATAGGGCCCTTAATTTTTGTATGCCATATGACAATTCTGTGGAAAACTGAATACCGTGTCCTCTCTTGTTTTGTTTCACAGGGTAGATCATCTGTATACGTTTTTTGTTCAGTGGTCACCAGAAGTATATGGAAAAGATGCCAAAGAGCAAGGTTTTGTCGTGGTGGAAAAGGAGGAGCTTGATATGATAGACAACTTCTTCAGTGAGCCATCAACTAAAAGCTGGGAGGTGAGTGCCTTCTATTTTCAGAGAATCAAGAATGATACAGGGAATGTGCATCATCCACTGCGAATCTAAATACCCACCCTTTTAATTTTTCTAACATTCTGGCACTTTTTTTTTACTGATAGGACTCTTATTCCTTGTATTATGGTGTCCTCAGGCTTTGTGGCTGTCCAACATACCTACTCTGATCCCTACAGCTCCCCTCTCCCTTTATATCTCTAGTGATCCAAGGTAGTGATCAGGCAAGGAACTTTCTGATTCCAGCAGAGTCAATAGAAGTTATACAAATATTTACTGCAACTATCATACAAAGTTTTTTTTAAACCATATTTCTTAGCCTTTTTGAGGGAGAACATTTTTTCTGAAACTTTACAAATGTTACAATAGTATTAATGTTGCAAAAAAGGCACTCGTAAGTCAGCTTCAGTGAAGTTTCAAGGTGGAGAATATCATTTAGCATACTACTTGCTTGAGCATCTGTTTTAAATCATTAATGAATACTTTTACAGCATTGCTGATGTATCTCTGATCTGTGGGTTGTACATACATGTGTGAAAGGCCAAACGTTTCACAATGTTCGTATGAAAAAGAATAAGATAAATAAGGTATTAAAGTTTTACAGTTCTGGGAAAAAGCTTTGCGCTGAATAGATAACTGTGAAGTATAAGTGAACTTTATTTTGAGTGTTGCATTACTGGGACAGAGTTAAGGAGGTCTGGGTGCTGATCTTTGGGACATGTTTTTGTTCAACAGACTTTGTGGGTTTGGTGCTAAGGGTAGAACTGTTTGTAACATTAGGTTCTGATTTCCACCATTGTGACTGTAAGAACCCCTCAGTGTCAATTGGCAAAGGGTTCACTGTCCTGTAACAAGAACGCCTAACAAGCGTGACAAACTACATCTTGTACACCGCTTTCATCTATTTATCCATAAATGATGTCATGTAGGATCTTTAATGAAAGCCAGGATCACGCTGATCATTAATACCATTGTGAAATGTATGTACAGATACCACCACTTCCACCTTAATTGAATTGGCCTTGTTAGCACTGACACCCCACTTGATAAGGGGCAACTCCCATCTTTTCATGTGCTGTGCTGGGTTTGTGTGTATGTGTGTGTGTGTATCTATACTACTTACTGTATTTTTCACTCCATGCATCTGATGAAGTGGGTTTTAGCCCACGAAAGGTTATGCCCAAATAAATTTATTAGTCTCTAAGGTGCCACAAGGACTCCTCATTGTTTGTTTTTGCAGATACTACATAAAAAGGTGTGTTTTTTTTTTTTTTTACAGATATAAGAAATTTTGTTCCTAAAAGAGTCTCTGAATCAAGGCAGGTTTCTTAACAAATGGGTTTCTGCCAGGCAAGGGATGTATATTTACCTGCCCGCCTCAGTTCATGTGTAAGTTAAGCATTGCAAGCCAAACAACAGTGCACATAAAGTCAGCATGAATATGTGAATTCAACATGAAGTCACACCAGGGAATAAATCTCGGCAGATCACCCTGACTCTAGGTACAAAAAATGGGATGTGAGCATATAAGGAGGAGGCAAAAGGACATCTCATTATCCTGCACCTTAGGAAATAATCAGGCAATGGGATTAACTAAAGAAATGGCCTTAAATAAATAGGATGAGATCCAATAAGAACAAATGCAAAGTACTACACTTAGAAAGGAATAATTAATTGCACACGTACAAAATGGGAAATGACAGCCTAGGAAGGAGTACTGCTGAAAAGGATCTGGAGGATTATAGTGGATCACAAACTAAATATGAGTCAACAATGTAAAATTGTTCCCCCCCCCCCCCCAAAAAAAAAAACCAAAAACATCATTCTGGGAGGTATTAGCAGGAGTGTTGTAAGCAAGACCCAAGAAGTAATTCTTCCGCTTTACTTAGCACAGATAAGGCCTCAGCTGCAGAGCTGTGTCCAGTTCTGGGCACCAAACTTCAGAAAAGATGTGGAAAAATTGGAAAAAGTCCAGAGGGGGAGCAACAAAAATGATAAAAGGTCTAGAAAACATGACCTATAAGGAAGGATTTAAAAAAATGGGTTTGTTTAGTCTGGAGAAGAGAAGACTGAGAGGAGACATGATAACAGTCATCAAGTAAAAGATTGTTCTAAAGAGAAGGGTGATAAATTGTTCTCCTTAGCCACTGAGGACAAGACAAGCAGGAATGGTCTTAAATTGAAGCAAGAGAGATTTATATTTGATATTAAGAAAAACTTCCTAAATGTAAGGAGAAGTTAAGCACTGGAATAAATTACCTAGGGAGGCTGTGGAATCTCTGTCATTGGAGGTTTTTAAGAACCGCTTCCCCCCACCCATGAACGCTTGTTGGGTTGGGCTAGAAGGATAATACTTAGTCCTGCCTTAATGCTGGGGTCTGGAGTAGATCCTTTCCAGTCCTACATTTCTATGATTACATTCATGAAAAGAGGATCCCAACCTGTCCTGATTGGGAGCACTATAAAAGACATTTAGGTGAGAAGAGACTGCTTTTAGACAAATAACTTCAGCAGGTTAACCAAGTTCAGTCTCTAGAAAGCATGTATGGATTTTGTTTTACATATAACCTTTATGTTTCCATTATCCTCATTCACTGTCTCCTAAATCTTAGCTTTTGATGATGAACTTAGGATTGTTTTAATTATAAATATATCTCAGGGCTGTGGTGTTACATAGAAGCTGATCCTGAATTGAATCAAATAAGCTGGAGTGTACACTGGGATAGCAAACCTCATGTTTCTGTGACTAGCTGGTGTCAGGGCTGAATATCACAGGGGTGATCAGCTCAGGGACTGAAGTGCCCCTATGGGTAAAGTGTAAAGCAAAGTGAAGGCTGGCATAGCCCTGAGGAGATTGTTTGGGTAGCTAACGACTGGGTGTCAGTCTGGGTGACAGCACCAGCCTAAGCATTAGCAAGTCTCTTTCTCTCACTGGGGGTGTGGGGTGGGTAACAAGGTGACTCTCGGTAACTGTTCATGCTTTGGGGATTTTATTTTACACACTTATTTGGTGTATCTTCTCTTGAATTGTGCTTAGTAACTTGTAAATTAACATAATGTTTTGTTTGGAATTTGTTGTATTTTTGTTAATTTCTTCTTTCATCTCATGTCAGGCTTCTGACTCAAGAACATTTCTGTATATTATCTAGTGAAAACTTGAATGTTGGTGAAAGCTTTGTTGAGAATGAAAAGATTTCCCCCTCCCCCCCCCTTTCGCCCCCCGAGGAGATTGCTCACCAGCTCTATGCTTCTGTTTCTCAGACCACCTCATTCCCAGGACCCACAGATGGCCTTGATTTCCCAACCATTCCTCACTGTCTGATTCCTGACTCCAGCTGATTCTCATTACCAGGTTGCAGACTCATTCCCATTCTCCAGCCAGCCCCTTTCCTTGACTTGCTCCTTGCCCTATCCCCAGTGGCTGCTTCTCCCACTGCTAGGTGTACAGAGGATACTCCTGGGGGAATTCTGCATTACTGTGCATGTGCAGAATTCATGGCCCCACAGATTTCTTCGCTTCCCTGCAGAAAAATGATTTCTGATGGGGAAGCAAAGGGAAGCCCACAAGAGCAGTCATGTGCCCCTCCCTGGCAGCGCAGGCAGGTTGGTTCAGGCGCCCGGGGCAGCTGGTAGAGACGTAAATCACCACTAGGACGGTAAAGGGGGGTGGGGTGTGGGCAGTCATGCATGTGAGAGGGAGACACACACTCTGTCCCTCCTGCTTGCTATTGTGGCACGCTTGGCATGGAGAGGCAGGGCTTTGAGGTGTTTCTGAGGAGGTAGGCATGGGGCAAAGCGGAATGTAGCAGCCTGCCTGCTTAGTGAATTGTTCCCATTGTCTTTGTGAATTCCCCCAGGAATACAAAACGGATGTAAAAGTTTTAAGGCTCCTTTACATTGCCAGAGTGGTGTAAAGAACAGTATGGCCTTATAAATGCTTATGGTGCATTAGTGATTAGAACTGGCCTAAATTTTTGGACTGAAAAAAAATCCTATCAAAATGGGCTCCATGAACTATTTGGTACTTACCTTTCTGGAGATGGTCAGTAGCCAGTATAAATTGTGAGTTTGATACCCCAGCCCTTACGTGCTCTTCAGTTGCCTACAATGTGACACTGAACGTATGGGGGTGTGTGTGTGTCTTATATATGTCAAACCTAGCTACATTACTATTAGACGAAGGGGGTTTGGGGATTTCCTCTAATGCTCCCCACTCCCATTCTCCATCCACTGTATTGTAGTTTAAATAAATTACCAAACTAATTGAAACTGGCATGATTATATTGCATTATTTTGACAAAATGTGTGGAATTTTGCAGCATTTTAAAATATTGTGTACAGAATTTTTAATTTTATAGTGCAGAATTTTTAATATTTTGGTGCAGAATTCCCCCAGGAGTAAGAGGAGGAGTCCTGCTTGACTGGAGCTTAGGAGACCTGTGGATTTTCAAAGTAGCCTGAATATCAGAGCCTGGAGCCTCTTCTCCTTGGAGCCTATAGAATACACCCTACCCCCTGTTCAGTGTTCCTCCTTCATTATCCAACTCTCCCATCCCCAGCTTCTATTAGTTCCAGAACACAGCTGAGTGTAGCACTTAGAACTGCTAGCCTTCCAACACCAATTTTTAATTTAAAAAAATTGATCTAGTATTTAAGAATTTAAATAATAAAATTTCAAACATCTCTAGAAAAATTCTACAACTCTCCTATTTTAAGCATTCCCATCTGCAAACAAATGAGTTGCTATGCTCAAAAGTTAGAGAAAGGGATGGAAAGTAGGGCTTATATTGAAAAACTGTCCCCCATTTGTAATTGTTAACTTCCACTTGACAGTCTGTAGCTTAAATGCTGTATAAAGAAACAGAGGAGGCTGTCCAGTCCCAGCTGCGCTCCAGCCGTAGGAATTATGATACCTACGGACAGGTTTCACGCTGAATGACCAAAAGGGGCCATGACCGGGACACCCTGCAGTGCAGGGTCAAAGT